CCCTGGGGGCCGCTGCGTGGGAGCAGGAGGCCGCTGATGGGGTGGCCGAGCGGCGCGGCGGGCGAGGCCCGGGTCAGCAGGCGCGTCTTGTCCAGGGTGTCCCTGGGGGCGGACAAGGCAGTGGTCACTGTCGGCAGGAAGCAGCCGCAGAGTTTCAGCCTGCTCCCGCCTCCCTGCACCCCCGTGTCCAATAAGGAACCGAAGTCACCACAGCACTTCGGTTTTGGGGTGCCGCCTGGCTGCTGCCTGTTACCGCCCCCGCAGCTCACAGCCTCAGAGGCCTGCCCTGACCCTGTTGCCTCGCTGACACAGCCTCCACCCAGGGTTGTAGCGAGGGGAGGGCGGAGGGGGGCACTTGCCCCCGGGGCTCAAATCCAAGGAGGCGCCAGATGAAGCTCGGAATATTATTTAGAGGAGCCACAAACATGAAAGGTGGCTGACTGAGGCAGCCGGACAAGGAGGGGAAGGACTTTCAGCTGACACGTCGCTGTTATCAACATCTATTCATCTTGAAATTGGCAGCTGGTGCAATTTAGAGGCTGCCCCTGGGGGCTCCAACGGGGGTGCAACTTAGAGACGGCCCCTGGGTGCGGGCGCTGCCCTCCTTATGTCCCTGCCTCCATCTGCTCGCACCACCTGCTCGCAGACGACCGCAGATGAGCACAGTTTTGGCTTATAGGGGCTGCCACGCACGCTCCCTCCCCTCATCTTTATAAGCCTGCGGTGGGTGAGGCTGGAATCAAGGGTCATGAAGACGAGAACCCAGCTGGTGAGCGAGACCTGCCGCCAGGTCGCTCGCTGGAGGGGCAGGAGGCTGCCGTGTTTGCAGTTCCCAAATCTTTCAGGCTGTACACTGACGCAACTGAGACCTCCCCTCTTCCAACTGGTGCTGCACAGCCCCCGAGAAGCGGGGCCCCTCTGTTCTCAGACGCCAGCCCACGGCCAGGCCCTGTGCTCCTCCCGCTTTCCTCCATGGCCTCCTGGCCCCGCGTGTCGCCCTGCAGCCCACTCACCGCTCACGCTCCTCCCTGCCCTTGTCCGGCTCTTGGTCGTGGTTGCTCAGGGTGGAGACGCGCTCCGCATCCACGGGCTTGGGCCACGGGGGCGGCGTGGGGAAGGAGGGCGGCGCGCGGTGTAGCCGGCCCCAGGCCTCTTGGGGGCTGGGCAGGCCGTGGAGCGGGGAGCCCTCCTTGTGGGCAAAGACACCGCCAGCTGCTGCCGGGGGCACCAGGAGGGGGTGTGAGGCAGGCCCCTCCACTGGGCCGACCCGGCACAAACTGTGGTGGGCTGCACCCAGGAGGCCCGGCCTGGAGTGGGATGTCCCGCCCTGCCCATCCTCACGATGCCTCTTCCAGGCTGAGGCTCAGTTTGGGGGGTCCTGTAAGGGGAGGGCACATGCAGGGGAGGGAGGGGAGGAGGAGGGGCCCTTACTCAGCGCATGGCTGCCCAGGCCCCCGAAGGCATTGCTCCCCAGGCTCGCCAGGCCTCCGAAGGTGGTCGATCTGCTGAAAGGGTCTGCGGAGGTAGGGCAGGGAGACGGGCTCAGGGTCTATATGGCCCCACGTGGCTCTGCCCACGGCTCCCACACACCTGTCCCCACCCCAGAGGCTTTCAGCCTGGCAGGTGGTACCTAAGCACTTGTGGGGTGCCCTGGGACCAGGGGTCACCCCCACCCCCAGACCAGGGTCTGATGAGGAAGCTGGTCAGGGCGTCAGGGGCCTTGGGGTGGGCACCTACCTGCCAGATGACTGGTGGGCAGGAAGCTGCTGTGATGAGCGGAGGGTCCGAACGGGCTGGTGGCGGGGTGGGCGGCACCTGCAGAGGGAGGGGTGGCGGGTCGGCCAGGGCCTCAGGTGCCTCTGCAGCCACAGTCATAGACCCGGGAGTCCTGCTGGCAGCTGAGCGGGTCTGCAGTGTCATTCATGGGGTGTGGGGCACCCCAGTTTCCCTCTGGGAGCCACTGCCTCCCATTCTCCTGTCCTCACCCGGACTCTGGGACGAAGTACGTGACCAGGTTTGCCCACAAGAAGAGGCCGATTTAAACTGCTAAAAAGGGACTCCCCTCCCTGAATCTGGGAGGATGACAATCTGGGACCCCAAGGTGGGACAGGGAGGAAGGACAGAGAGCCAAGACATGGGCAGAGACAGAAGGCCCAGAGACACTGTGCTGTGATAGGGCTGGTCCTAAAGCCAAGGACCTTGGAGTTGTCAGCTTTGAGAGCTGAAAATGATCCTGTTTACCTAAGATAGTGAGTTAGATTTTCTGTCCTGATGCCACAGCTGAGTTTTGAAAGCTGAAGACAGCACCCCCTCCCCATCCACCCTGCAGGGCCCCAGGCTGCACCAATGTCCCCTCAGCAGCAGCCCTTGTCAGCCCTGGCTCCCCCAACACCCAGAGCCCCTCAGAGGCACCTCTGGAGCCAAGTGCCAGAGACCAGCTGGGGGTGGGGTGAAGGGAACCAGCCCTGAGAAGGGCCAGTTCAGGGAGACACAGCTGTGGTTGTCAGGTCCTGGGGGGGGCACACCTTTCTTTGTTCCAGAGGCAAAGACAAGGGGTCCCCATCCTTCTGTCACCCCAACTTGCTCCAAGGCTTAATTTCGGGACCGCCAACAATGGCGCCTTCCACATCCCCTCCCAGCCCCCTACTGCAGATGGCCGGGCACATCCAGAGCTTCTGGTCTCCTCTGAGCTCCCAGCTGGAACAATCTCACCCTCTGTAGATTTAAAACCACACTTCCAACTAATAATCCTACACAAAAATAAAAAAAAAAACCACACTTCCAAATAATCTGTAAGTCAAAAACGCCAAAACAGAAATCAGAAAATACTTTGACCCCAGTGCTAGTGAAAATACAATGTATCAAAATGCGTGGGCTGCAGTTAGGAAACAGAGCAATGTATAGAGTTAAACTCTACAGAGCAGTTCCACTCTGTGACACGGGGTCACCATGAGTCGGAATCAACTGGACGGCAGTGGGACACATTACGGGAAAACACCAAAGACTTAATATTCTAAACTTGCAACTTAGGGAGGCAGAACAAGGCTAGCAAAGTGTATACAAAGTAGAAGAGAGAAGGCAAACACATAGGAGAGGGGATCAGCAAAGCTACCACTGTTTCTTTTTAGATGCTACGAAAACAGACCTCTGGCAAGACTGATCAGGTGAAAAGAAGGTAGAAGGTACAGCTAAGCAGCCCTCAGAGTCAACCAGAGACCTGTAGGGCTTACACTGTAAGAGGAGATGGTGAACATGTTGGTGTTAACAGATATTAAAAGTTATGTAAATGAAATTCCTAGAAAAATTTGTTACAAAAACAGACTCAAGAAGAAACAGAAAACTTAAGTAGTCCTATACCCAATACAGAAAAAAAATCCACGAGTATAAATCACAGGCCAGGAAGCTTAAAATGCAATTTCTACCAAGTCTTCAAAGCAAGAATGACTTCAATCTCAGAAAAATGCTTCCAGAGAAGAGAAAAAGGGAAACTCTCAACTCCTTTATGGAGGTGGACACACCCTTGACAACAGAACCAGCCAGAGTCACAGCAGGAAGGGAAATACAGGCCAGACACACTTGGGAAAACAATCACAAACAAAATGATGGCCAAGTGACTCCAGAAGTACATAAAAACGCTTATCCATCGAGACCAGGTTGGGCTTCTCCCAGGAATGCCGGAAATTAAAGGAGAAAAACAATACGATGAACTTAACAGACGCAGGAAAAGCACCCCCTGGCACTCAGCACCCAGTCGTGACAGGAACGGCTGTTGATGCTGAAGCAGAGGGACCCTACTCTTCTGGTCAAAGGCACCATTGGGGGGTTGCTGAATACCCCCCGCTTTAGGACCAAAAGCAGCCATGGGGCCTGTGGTCACTGTTTCTACTCCACATTGTACTGGAGGCCAGTAAGATAAGAGGAGGAAACCAAAGTCCTCTGGTTTGGAATACAGAAACACATCATTTGTAAATGTGATTTTCTAAACAGGAAGTGCAAAGGAATCTACATTAACTTATTTGCATTAACAAGGACTTAGCAAGATTGCTAGGTCCAAAATCAGTATGTAATATACAAATCAATACTCAGAATCAATATGCATTTCTTTCTAGCAACAGCCCATTAGAAAATATAGTTTTAAAAATGCCAATCACAACACAAATAAAAAATATAAAACATCTAGGAATAATTCTAATAAAACCTAAATAAATGGGGGAGATACACCATATTTATGGACAGGAAGACACTGCCATACAGATATGAATTCTCTTCAATTTAATGGACATTTTCAATCCAATTCCAGTAAACCCCCCACAGAGTTCTTGGTGAAACTTCACAAGCAGATTTAAAATTTTCATGGGAGAGCAAGGTCAGGATCTACCCACCAGATACCAAGACTGGCTGTGAGGCTGCTGGAAGGGGCTTTCACATGGCCCCAAGGTCATACACGGGCCCGCACACGTGGACATGCAATCATGGGGTCAGTCAGTAATGGTCCTGGACAGCCGGGTGTCCACACTATACTGGGGGGCAGGGGTGGAGGACACAGACAGGGTTGAAGGCCCAGAGTGGGCACCCTAGGCTGAGTGGACACCCTGGTGCTTGTGGGGCCAGCCCAGGTAAGGGGGTCCCATGGTGAAGAGAGGAGGCCCCAACCCCACAGGTCACAACCAGACCATGTACCGTGTGACGTGGGTGCCACGTGCACAGATACGGGGTGGGTGCTTGCCTGGACAGGGCGGTCAGGGAGAGTGCGTCAGGAAGACGGACCATGGACGCAGAGCTCTGAGGAGAGTCTGCGGCAGGCCAGGGGGCCGTCACACTAGGGCCGCTACAAAACAGCCCTGGCTGGTGTCTGGGAGCCTGGATTCCTGCAGGGCCTCATCACCCCGATGAAGCGGTTGCCTGTGCCTAGACTCTGCAAACAACGTGGGCTGCGCTGACCACCTGCTTCCTCGGGGAGGAACGTGCCAGGCGGAGGTGCCTACTGACCAGCCCCAATAACCCTGGGTGCCGAGTCTCTAATGAGCTTCCCTGGGGGACAACACGTCACACATGCACACTCATCGCTGAAGGAACAAAGTGCCCCATGAGACGCCATGGGGAGAGAGGATCCTGGAAGCTTGTCCTGGTGTCCCTAGACTCTGCCCCACGCATCTTCCCTGTTTGTGCTCCGTGCTCTTGCACCATAACGAATCACAGCCTTGTGTACAACCACACACTGAGCCCTGCAGTCCTCCTAGTGGACCTGGGGGTCTCAGGGACCGGGCCCAGCAGCGACTCAAGAGGAGCAGATGAATGTGGCTGTGGTGGATGCGGTGGGCTGGAGCAGTTTCCTGCCCTTCTGAGAAAAGCCCAACACCCCTTCTGGAAGGGAGGCTGGGAGAAAGGAAGGGTGTCCTACGTGGGGGCGGGCAGGAGGGCAGAACAAGAAGCCCAGGGAGGGGATGAGGCCGGCATGTGAGGACTGTGCTGGGGCGAGGACCCTGGGTGTGACAGGTGTGACACGTGCAGTTGGGGCGAGGATCCCAGGTGTGACGTATGTAGTCAGGGCAAGGACCCCGGGTGTGACAGGTGTGTGAGAGGTAGGCAGTTAGGGTGAGAACCCCGGGTGTGAAGGGCATGTGAGGGGCGGACAGTTGGGGTGAGGATTCCGGTTGTGATGGGTGTATGAGGGATGGGCATTCAGGGTGAGGACCCTGGGTGTGACAGGTGTGTGAGAGGTAGGCAGTTAGGGTGAGGACCCCAGGTGTGACGGGCACGTGAGGGGCGGACAGTTGGGGCGAGGACCCCAGATGTGATGGGTGTACGAGGGGCAGGCAGTCGGGGCAAAGACCGGGGTGAGGACCTCGGCCAGGTCTTTGGGTGAAGAAGGGCCCACCGAGGCTGCATAAGGATGGTGGACGCCTGCACAGGGCTCCACACCACCGCCCCTGCCCCTTCCAGGGCTCAGACCAGCTCCGGGGAAAGGCTTGGGGGAGAAGTGCGGGCTGAACGGCCTCAGCTTCACCCAGAGTTACCGTACAGAAAGCAAAAAGGATGCTGCCGTGCCTACAGCATTCTCCCACCCTGGGGCACAGACAAGGGCTGCGGCTGTGCTGAGGTCGGAGGGCAGGCAGCATGCTCTGCTGGACACCATGCCCTCCCCGGGCCTCACCGGTGCTGGAGAAGAAGGGCCGTGCCAGGTCCTGCGGGGAGTGGAGTCCGGCAAACACGCCCGGGGCCGGGGGCCGGCTGAACAGGTCCAGCTTGGCGCCTACCTCTGACTTGTGGGGGTCCAGCTGCATCTGCTGAGACACAGGAAATGTCCACGCGGCAGCCTGGCCCAAGGGGCAGTAAGATCTGAGATCCGAGCACCCACGCACACCCACACACGGGCTCACTCCAGCCTGCAGAGTTGGCCTCGTCTCGCTGGCTCCGACCCCACCCCTTGCACTCCTCTCCCACTTGCTCCTCGGATGCTGGTCACCGAGCCTGTGTGCTAGGGATGCCCCTGCCCAGCCTGGGGACCGGGACGGGGACAGGGAGGCGGCAACGCGGCCCACCTTTATCTTCTGCTGATGGTGGTAGATCTGCCACGCGATCTGCACGTGCACCGCACACCACTTCCCTGGTTTCTGCCGGGACAGAAAGGGTACATGCTCAGGAGGGGCACAGTACCACCCATCGCCCCCCAACCTCGCCCGACGCTCCTCAGGCTCTGCCCCCAGCCCCACCCGATGTTTCCCAGGCTCCTCCCCCCAGTCCTGCCAAATCCCTTCCTCCCAGGAGAGGCACGCGCGAACACTCACCCTGACCATGGTCCTGTGATGGCCCGGCACCTGTGGTGGACACAGAGGAGGTGTCATCTCCACCCCCGCAGGTGGCCTCGCCCCGGGAGGAGGGGAGAGGACAGAGCCCGGGCCTCCCAAGGCCCTTTCCCTGTGGCTCCCCTAGGTGGGGGTGGCCTTTGTGGTCCGTCTGGGGAAAGGGTGGGGGCAGGGCCGGCACCTACCGCGGGGGCCTTCTGAAGGAGGGCGTGGACGGCACTGGCCCGGCCTGTCACTTCAATGGGGCTGGATGTCTGGGAAGAGAGGGGGGCGTGAAACCCCTGCAGGGTTAGGGGGCAGAGGCCACCCTGCCCATGATCCCCAGGGAGCCTGCTGTCTCATCGGGACCCCCACACCCTCCACACCTGGCTGCAGGACATTCTTTGAGGCGGGTAGGGCTCTTGGTGCCCCTGGGCACCATCTGGCCTGGGCAGGCCCTACTTTCCGTGGGGTGAGAGACCCCGGTGCCCCACTCCAGGCCGTTCACCAGACCTCACCTTGGCCCTGCCCCCCAAAGAGCTCCTGCCTGATGAGGAGGGGAGCAGAGCTTGGAAGGTCAGATGCTGAGCCAGGCAGCTCCCACAGCCCCAGCAGTGGGGGAGGGCAGGGAGACTACTGAGCCCCCCTATCCCCTCCAGGGTCCCTGCAGCAGGTGGGCACCCAGACTCCACCTCATGGCCCTGGACCCCCAACACACGCAGCTCCCCCACAAGCCACCCCAGCTGTGCTCCCCCGCCTGCCTGAAGTGGCTGGTACCTTGGGCTGGAAGGCGCCCTGCAGGGACCCGAAGGGGCCGGGGTGTGGCAGCAAGGTGGGCATCCCCGGGACAGCCGGAGGGTAGGACGGGAAGAACTGCAGAGAGGTGCATGGTTAGGAGCGAGAACGACCCCACAGAACCAGGCCCACCACCACCTGCCCCCGCCCCCGCCCCCCGAGAAAGGCAGCACTGACAAGCCCAACTGCCCCCTCAAGGATGATCCAGGCCAGGCAATAGAGGCAGGAGAGGCCTGCCCATCCCCCGCCAGGCCCAGGACCCCTTATGCTCACAGTGCTCCCTACCCAGGCACCCTCAGTGCCCCCATGAGCCCAAGGCCAGAGAGTGGGGGCTATCCAGAGGATGCCGTAAGAGACACTCACGCTCACGTTGGAATGTCGGAAGTAGGGGCTGTCCAGCTTGGGGGCGTACTTGTCAAACTGGGAGGAAAAAGAAATGGGGGTGAGAATTCCTCCACTGCATGCTGAGGCCCTCCATTGGGCCCAGCACCCCTCACCCCCCAGCACCCCATGCCAGCTGGGCTGTGGACAGGCACCCCCGTGTGCAGCCGGCAGCCAGCCATCCCCTGGCCCTAGCCGTGAGCTCAGACCCGCGGGCCCAGTTCAGGGACCAGGGCAAGGCCCCTTCCACTATGTCCCTGAGGGGACGGGACCCACGGCCTTGGGCAGCAGAGCAGCTGGCGGTCAAAGGGGTCTGCCCAGGCCATGGCAGGCGTGGAGCCTGGGCTGGCCACCACACCGAGAGACAGGCCATGATGCCAACACGTGGCTGGCTGCTGGCGATGAGTGGTGGGAGCTTAGCTCACAGGACGTGGCCTTGGCGACCCGGTGGGAGGGGGTTCTGTGTCCCTGCGGGCCTCTCGGCCTGTTTGGGCATGTGGCCCCAGCACCTGTCCCGCGGGCGCGTGTGGACAACGTGACCCTGCGGGAGACGGGGGAGCGGGTCGGACCCTGCTGTGCTGCCCAGCAGAGGCGTGAGGCGGGGTGCGGGGGATGGGAGTGGGCCACCGGCCGCCTGTGGTGCGTGCGTGCGTGCAAGTGCGCCGTGCCCGCGCCCCC